GTTGTTGTTGGTTTTTTTAACCCGCACCATCGATCTGTTGCCTCTCCAGCCAGGAAGCGAACCCGCGACCTTCTGTGTGTTCAGGACGATGCTCTAACCGACGGAGCCACCTGGCCAGGGCTGACATTTATGTGTTTGAATGAATCAGACAGACTCCTCTGAGAAGAGCTGACCAAGTCTCACCTCTAGGACTTTAGAGCCTTCTTCTACATGACTGTGAATGGTGTGTGCATGTTTGCTAACACTTTTCTAGTCTAGAGAGTCAATGGAATAGTATTAAATTATCTAATTTTGATGCACTGAACACCCTAACATAGTTTTCTTTAAATACGGCTTCAATAGTTCACATTTATCTACAACAGCATATTAATTTTTAATTTTTTTTGTAGGCTTCAAGTAGAAGACTAATTAGTATCTTTCTCTAGGAAATTTTCAGGGAAGATAAAATGTTTGAACCCCTTTAAATGAATATATACTGTCTGGGGCATCTTTTGTGGGACAATGAGGGGGGGGAAAAAGAACAAATTTTTATGCAGTGTCTGTTAGGTGCCAAACAATTTTACATATGGTATTTAATTTAATCCTTATAGTAACCTCTAAGAGAAAGTACAATTACTAACCCAGCTCACAGATCACGACACAAAGAGATTAGTAATTGGCCTAGTCCAGGGTCACACTGCTAGTTAGAGCTGAAATTCAAACTCAGGTTCTTTTACTCCAAAGCACATATTGTTCACACTTTATCATGCTAGCGATTTTCTAAATTAGGATGTTGGTGATGAAATGAGATATTGTGACTTATCCTTCAATTGGATATTTTCAGTTTTCACTTTTGGCTTTTGAACAGAATCACTTTCTTATACACTTCTGCTATGTAACCATCAAGACAACGTGCGTAGTATAACACCTATTGCCTCTACGTTAATTAATAGCTATCTCATGTCTGAGAAAAGAAAATTTTAGCACAAAAACCATGCATCCAACTGACTGATAGGTCAAACTTCATGGCCAATTTTCCTCTCACCACTTGCAACTGAGCTTCCTTAGTTCTTCAGTAAATGAGAACCTAGGTATACAACCTGGGTAACTGAGCAATAGACAGGGTGAGAGGAAGAAAGGAAAAGGTTCATTAAGTAAAGAAAACTCAGATATATCTAGAGGGTATTACGCTAAGTGAGATAAGTCATGCAGAGAAAGACAAATACATATGGCTTCACCTATACGAGGAATCTAAAAACAAACAAAGAAAAACAGACTCATAGTAACAGAGACCAAAGGCATGGTTACCAAAAGGGAGGGGAGGGTGAATACAGTCAAAGGGGAAAGGGGAATATTGTCAATAATATTGTGATTAGTTTACAAGGTGACAGATGATTACTAGAATTAGTGGGTGATCGCATTGTAAGGTATAAAAATGCTGAGTCACTATATTGTACACCTGAAACTAATATAACCAATATAAGATTATATACCAACTATACTTAACTTAAAAAATAAATTTAAAAAAAGAAAAGAAAACTCAGGAAGTGATAAAATTTTAAGGAAACAAGTGAGAACAAGAAAGATCACAAAAAAAAAAAAAAAGTCACAGTATTATTGTGGCCAGGAATAGAGTTTTCTTAGTGATTAAATGACTCCTGTTTTCTTTCCTATAAAATCATTTCTCAGTTGCAGGGTCACGACTACATCTGTGCAGTTGCTGGTTCATTGTTACATACTGCCCGGCGTTGAAAAACAAGTCATCTGCCAGTTTAAACATTATTGACTCATTGACTGAATTCTTTTACTAGGAGTGCATGTTGCGATGAAAGACCAGTCTTTTGTTGTTTCTAGAATACTTACTCTAGCTGTACATGTAACTGCATTATTATCTCACTATCATTTTTCAGTTTGCTCTCACGAAGTACTGAATTTATGGTGGATTTTTGCAATTTGCTCTAAAAACATATTAAGGTTATTGGAGAAATACACAATCATTAATCTTAAGTGGTTTTGTAAAACATGGACTGTCACGAAAATGCAAATAACCATTTGCCTTTTTCCAAAACCAGAAACAGATTCCATCTCCATAGCTTTATGTAATCCTGGCATTCATGAACACATCTGTCACGAGTGCCACTCATCTGGATGACTCTAAAAATACCGAGTGCCACCAAGTCTTACTGTGGAATGGCCAGCTGCCCGAGCACGTCTGCTCAGAGGCAGGATGAAGACCGATGCATCTTTCCATTATACCTGCTTGACGGCTACTCACGAGCCCTACATACCCCTGAATGATAGCGGCAATGATAATGGCAATGAACATTTAATTATTTATTACATATTAGAAACTGCCCTGAGTACTTTCACTATAATATCTTTTTTCCCCCCCTTCAAAACAATTCTAGAAGGCAGGTACTATCTTTAACCCCATTTGTCCCGGGACCTGGTAAGGCCAAGCTGCCTTGGGAAAAGAAACACACTGTGCGTTTCCGAGCTGGGACTGGAATACATGATTTTCTGACTTCAAAGCCCTGCAGCACGGTTTTGTTGGCACCACCCAGAGGTAGGAGGACTTGTCAGTCCTTCCAACACAACCCCTAGTTATTTAGGACTGTCTTTTACACAACCTGGGGGAAACAGATCAAAGGAAAAGCTGTCCCCACTCCAGTCAGCACTTGCCAAGCCAAACGTCAGATCAGTTCAACCCTCATTATCGCTTTTTCAAGAAAACAAGATCCTTCTTGGAAGGAAATTACATGTAAAATCTTTCTGTAGTTTTCATAATGAAAACACATTCAGATATGTCTTTCTGGGTTTCACGTTACCTTCTCTGCCAGCATCCAATTAACACAGTGGGTGCAAGTTTCCAATCGCCTCCGGCAGGTAGGGGGCTGACAACAGGTGCATCTTTCCTGTGACAGGTGTGCTGACAGAGCCCTCGTGTGTCTAACAAACACCTCGAACCTCGGAGCAGCTGAGCAGTATCTCTGCCCTTTAGAAAACCCAGCTGTACGATTACTCACACTTGCCTGAGAAGTCAGCTTATAGACTTTTCCATAAATGTTTTATATATCCACATAGATAGAAATAAACAATGAAAAGGACAGTTCAAAATCCCACAGTTAAAGAGAGCAAGTCCTCACTTAACACTGTCGATAGGTTGTGACTTTAGGCAAAACGAGGAATAACGAAATCAGCTTTACTGTAGGCTCACTGATATAAACAAGAGTTAGGTTCCTACAGCACCTCATTAACATTATAACAAAATGACACTGAACGAAATGATGCTACTCCAGGGCCCGCTGTTTGTCTCTGCTCCGATATCTTGAATGTGTACACTCTGCACTTCCCCTGAAAGTCCAGGACGGGTGATTGCTGCGGGTTTTACCTCCTCTCCTGGGAAGAGCTCTACACAGTTGTGCAATGGTACTACTTGTGTTTCTCTGGGGAGCATATTTAATTGGTTTTAACAATAATATCTATTACGTGTTGAGTACCTATTTTTTCCAGGCGCTTTTTAAGTTATGATTTCCAGTCAGTACACGTCTTAACAATAATAGGCCTTTATAACTGTATGGCATTCATGCTCTCCAGAATTTTCATATTTCCACTTTGAACTCTCTCAGCTTTGCTTTTAAGCATGGGTTTTCTTTTCATGTGTGTTGATTTTCCTTAAAACAAAAAAGTCCATGAGTGCAAAACCCAACAATGCCTTATCTTTTCATCAGTGTTACTGACGCACCCATTTTTAGGGAAACACTGTCCTCTTTTCTCTCACCACTCAAGGTGATGTCGGTCCTCTAAGACACCTCCACCCAAGTGGCAGAAAGAATGTACCACTCAAACATCTGGGAGCATCTGCCACAGCCTGCCACAGGCATCAACATTCTTTGTAGCGTTTTGCTTAGTTGTTAAGTTCATAAGCATTTTGCATTCTAGTCTATAATATAACCGTATTTGTCTTACCATAAACATTAAGAAGTGTTTTCCTCAGACTCTAAAAGTGGGCGTTGCACGAATGTGCCCACATTCATGCCCAGGTTCACACATCCCCCAGAACACTACTGTCCTTGTGGTGCTACAATCCAAAAAGCATGGGCTGGATATCAACTTCTTATTAAGGGGCATCAACATGTAGCTAACTGCACAACTTGGGATCATGCACACTCTTCCCATTTAATTGTCTCTGCCAGGCGTGGAGCAACTTTCCTCAGACTGAAGCCTTTTCTCCAAACACCTTCCCTGTCATAAAAGGATGGTGAATTACTGCAAGAAAAATTTCCAAAGACCAGGCTGGACACGTTTTTGTGAAAAAGTTCTCGGGTTTGACAAGATGGATATTAAAGTGCTAAGATGTATAGAATCAATTTCTTTACCCAGAAGTTCATTTTACTTTTACGTCTTTCCTGACTCTAGAGCATAAATCTTCTCTGAGAACATAACATTCCTTCTTTTCTTTCTCTTTTTCCTTACCTTTCTTTTCTTATTTATTTTGTCTAACAGAGATGAACATTAAGGCTCCACTCTACCACCCAGTGACTCGAGCCTGAATTTATTTTTAAGTTCATGCTTCAGATTTACAAAGTGAATTAGTATCTTCTTTGTTTCTTCTACAGGCTTAAAATAACCTATTTAGAGTTTACTTAAAGGAACAGATTCCTACAGCAATAAAGAAGCAGTGAAATATGGGACAGATGTTCAGAGGACCGGGTTTGTCTGGTCCTTGTATCTGTTAACATTTGTACGTGCTTTCCTCACCTATCAGGTAAGATCACTAATAATACACACGAAATTTCCTTGTAACTACTGCAAGTTTACTTTAAAGTAGTAAGCTGGTTATGTTCATATTCCAGAGCTCCTAGTTTCACTTCCTGAATGAACCACATGGCTAAGAAACCTCAGGCAATGAGACTTCAAAATTCAGCAGATGGTTTCTCAGAGAAAATAAAATAAAACCCCTTCCTGAGGATGACAACTCCACACAGGGCAAGCACAAACCCTGCCCACCACATCCTCACCTGGGTCAGGCGGCAGACAGGCACAGGAAAAGAGAGTATTGTAGCCCACTCTGAAGTCAGCATTAATGGGGTAGTAATCGGCGAGCTTGACCATCTTCTTGAAAGCATCGTAGATAAAGATGAAGCTAATCAGAGAAGAGAAGCCCTCTTCGGTGAAGCGGGTAAAGTACTGAACCAGGAAGCTGGCATCGGTGGCTACCAAAATGAAGCACAGGAAGGCTGACCACAGGCCAATCCAAAGGCGGAACTCCAAATAGTCAAAATTATTGTCCCTGAAAAGAAAAAAGAAAGGTTAGACTCCTTCTCCAATGACCATGAAGAACAATATAACACTACCAAATGTCTGTAGAAAGACTTCTAAAAATACAAGATCACTTTAAGCCACTAGATAAATGCTCATTCTTCATTTGTTTTCCAGAAAATATCAAGCTTAAGGATTTGGTCTAGTAATATTATCATGCCACCATAATGGAATAATTCCAGTTTGAGAAAAGTATATCAAGAGGCAGCCACACCATTTGTGAATAATTCATTCATTTTTCTCACTCAAAAAAGGTGTTCCCTACCTTCACGGAGTTTATAAAGCAAACAATTTGAAAACCTAACACTGGAATGTTGGTGAGCTTTACTCGTTAATGAGGACACTAAGATAAATATGTTCTCAGTTCCCAGGTCATTGCAGCTCACTGAGGGAGACAAACTGATGGGAATAATCTCACTATAAAATACTAAGTGATACCTAAAAGTTCACATAGAAGGGGTAACTAATTCTGGTGGGGACAGATAAAGCTGCAGAAAAAAACTCAAGGTATTTAAGTAGGAACTTTCTGGGAAGACCATGGACGGTCGGGCCAGGAAAAGTTGGAAGCGTACTTAAAAATGCATGAGGCATGAGACCACATGCAGTGCTCACTGCAGACAGTGCCACAAACTCGAGGAGATGAGATTAGAACCATAGGCTGTAGTCAGATTAAGAAAGGCAGTCTTGCCCTGGCTGGGTGGCTCAGCTGGTTGAGCGTCATCCCATACACCAAAAGGCTGCAGAGTCAGTTCTCGGTCAGGACACATACCCAGGTGGCGGTTCAATCCATGGTCAGGGTGAATATAGGAAGCAACTGCTCAATGTTTCTCTCTCACATCGATGTTTCTCTCTCTCTCTCCCCCTCCACTCTCTCCAAAAAAAAATCAATAAAAAATATATCAAGTGAGAATAAAAAAATGAATACAAAACATATCCTCAGGTGATGTGACCACTTCTCGACACTTACCTGTTGACATGATACCCTTCTGCTAAAGTTGTGTGTGAAATAGCATCTTGTGATCACCTTTTCTCTGTCTGTGACAGGCTGCCTCCGCCTACAGAGGCCGTTGTTGTCAATGCCTTCTTATTTCTTATAAGTGAACAGTGCAAGATTCATGTTTAGGAAAATGTGGGTCAAGTACTGACATGTTACCATTTCATACTGATTCATCTAAAATTCTCTGGTGAGTGCTTTACAATATTTTTTCTCATAACTTTTTTGGTGATGAAAGTAGACAGTAGGTGTCACATTTCTTGTATGAGAAAAATAAATCAATGATCATACATGCTTGAAGTGCTACATCTTTGATTTTAGACATGGGTTTCTGATAACTGTTAGTGATACAATTTAACCCTTTCCCAAAGGCATCATATCAACAGCTTCAGCACCAACAACCCAGTCTGGGCCAACAAGAATTCATCACCTAATTATTATAAGAACCCCTTTACTGATATCCTTACTCATATCCAGGCTTGCCCTACTCAGAGCCATTTTTCACATCACAACCAACATGATCTTTTTAAATGTAAATCAGCCCAGCCGGCATGGCTCAATGGTTGAGCATCAACCTATGATCCAGGAGATCAAGGTTCGATTCCCGGTCAGGGCATGAGCCCCGGTGGGGGGCATGCAGGAAGCAGCCGATCAATGACTCTCTCATCATTGATGTTTCTATCTCTTTTTCTCCTTCTCCCTTCCTCTCTCTAAAATCAATAAAGATATATTTTAAAAATAAATAAATGTAAACAGATACTCCAAAAACTTTTTGATAGCTTCCCATTGCTCTCAGAATCAAACTTGAATCTTCTACCTAGCGCAGTGCCTGGCACATAGAAGGGGTCCAATAAAGACTTGCTGGATGAATTACTGCACGCCTGTGACCCAGGGCCTGAATGAGACAGTTCCTGACATTGGTCTACGAGCTATCACATGTAATCAGGAGATAACTGACTGAAGACTTTATAGAACATTAGATTTAAAAGTTCCTTAGGTACTGTAATGTCTCCAGCCTGCTAGCTCACCCTGCAGATGTTGAACTTGCCAGCGGCTATGATAATGTAATCTAAATCCTTATGATAAAGCTATGCATGTATGTACACAGCCTCCTGGTTCTGTCTCTCTGGAGGATCCTGACTAATACAGATACCAACTAGTCAAATCTGCCTCATTTAATAGAAGAGCACAAGACACCAAGGCCAGTGGTAAGTTTAAGTCATTTATCCAATGCCAAGGTGTTACTGGCAGAGCTGGACCAGGAAATAGATCTCTGGATCCTTGTTCTGGTCCTTTTAAAAATTACACCATGATCCCCCTATCCTATTTGTGTGTAGTATATGATAGGGTGAGCCTAGAGTAATCATCCTGTATTTGCATCCCCTCATGAAATCACACAGACTGGAGTACATCACCACAGCAGGAGTTGACTAATGCTGGAGGCCACAGTTACGGTCTACAGGTTCCCCGGAACCTTTCTGAAGGCACCCTCTGCATTCCCTTCCAGGGTCCTTCACGCCTGCAACTCCACTGTCTAATCCTCAGTTTTGCGAGATAAGCAGGCTGTAGAGAAAGCCGGATTCTAGGAACTAGAGATAGCTGCCATTGTCACACAATGTGTCAGAGTCAGAGCTAAGGAACATAGTCTTATTCCTTCTGAGCCAACAGGCTTTTTAATTAAAATAAAAGTTTTCACCAAGGACTAGTTTTGCCTCCTAAGAAGATAGAAGAGCAAATCTGGATTTGTTCTAAGAATGCTAAGAGCTGTTTATAGGATTGATGTTTATTGGACACGGTGATATATAAACCCATTAACTAGCTACTGATTAGGAACATGGTCAGTTTGAGTCAAAGGAAAAAATGCACATGTGACTTTAAATCTTAGGACCTAAATAATATACCAAACCAGCGGCTCTAAAATACTTAAGTACTCCCAGAGTAGCTCTATATGAATAATCCAAATTAAAAAACCACTAAAATATGTTTACAGCCGCAAGAAAAAAGAGGAAGAAGAAATGAAAAACGTTTTAAAACAAGTTGATCAATAGTCCTAATGACTACAATAAAATGGCAACATTACATCCGATAAGACTATCAGTCCCTTCCGTGCCAAGTTTCAATAGCAATTAAGTTATAAAAAGTAACAGAAAATGACAGTAAGAGACCAAAAAAACTATGGTGAATTAGAGGGAGAAAATGGGTGTATATCCTTATGGTACCATTCAGTGTTCGTAGGCATTCTGAGTTCGTTTCTGAGTGACACAAAACTAAGGACACAAACTGAAGAACTCCTGTTTGAAACATGCTACAGAAATTAATGTTCAGCTACTGACAAATAAAATATAAACTCTTTAAGCTAAATGAATAAATTAAAGTAACAGAAAAAATCATTTGAAGGCTTTTAAGTAAATTATTCAAAGAATATAAGAAATAAAGTATTGAATGATCAAATGACAATTATATAGGCTAAAATCCAACTTTAATTATGAAGTTTCTGCATGGCTTAGGACACAATTTTAAAACTTCTTTCAGATTCCTCACTAAAGAAAAACTCATCTGTTTCTCTGTTATTGGGATACAATGTATAAAAATAGTGCAAAAGAGACTGCAGAATTGGGAAAACAGTTGTGAGCTCTTCTCTCCATTCTGTTACTAATTTTAAAAGGTGGACAGCACATCATTCATATTCTTTTATGATTCTCCAGTTTATAGGGCAAATAGTAAAACCTATATCCCATTTCAGAGAAAATCTGTGGATTATGTGGAGTTACTGTTTGAGTCCACTGAACCTGAAAAACACAAATTTAACTATTTTTCAAAATATTGTAAGATATGTTGGGGAAAGTCTGGGCAAGACAGAATAAAACCGTTTCTTTACTGAAGGATTTCTCAGATCCCTTAGTAAGCTGAAGTGTAAAAGTGAACTACCAAGAGGGAGATATAATATACAGCATTTCCCAGACTTATTGGGATCACAGAAGCTTTTTTCATGGAGCATTTATGGGACTACTAATGGGCCTACTAATTGCTGAAACACACTTTGGGAATAGTGATCTACACCAATACTCTGTGTCTAGACAAAATATCAACACTGCCGTTATAATATTTAAATGATACAGCAATGCGAATAAAATAATAAGGTTTGCCACAATAAGAAACATTTGAGAAACCCTGTTTTAAATCCATCGCTGAATTACAAGGTTTCTTGTTGCTTTACAATTGTTTTCAAATAAATCATTTGGAACTATGTTTATGTTACCAATTATGATGAAACAAAAGGGAAAGTGAGAAAGGAACTTATTTACTGAAAGGAAATAATCTCTCTCCTACAATTATCTAAAGTAAACCGAGATGCAAACATTTTCTGTAGATTAAGGCTCTGATCACATTGCATCCAATAAATCTTTCTCCAAAGGTTGCGCATGTTTGTTCCTGTTTATAGCACACGCTTGTTTAATCTTTCCACAAAGGCTTTCTGGTCTCACACAATGTTTTCTTAAACATATAAAAACTGTTTGACTCTTTCTATAAACTGACATGAACAGAATCCTTTCCAATGTCCTTCTGAGAATTATAATGGAGGGGGGATGTGTAGTAATGAGCTAGAGAAAACTCACAACATTATTTGAAATTTAGAACTTCAAATTCTCAGAAGACCCTCACTGATGTTCTCAACCCAGTTTCCGAAACACTACCCTGTGGTCATTTCTGATGGCACAGTTTCAAAAGCTGTTACACGAGTCCTTAAGTCCATGAAGTATTATGTAGGTAATGACATTTCTAACATTAAAATCCTAAAAACATATTATAAGAATATGGAAATTCCAACAAGGAGTACAAGCAAGTTTTATGAAATTCTCCAATCTGTTAAAGGCTGAGATCTGCCAGTAAATGCAGTTCTCTCTTAGAGGTATTAAGTTCCTTAGAAAGAGGCCAGAATACCCAATTTTATTTCAAATCCATTTGTGTGCTAATATGGCCACTTAGATAATTCGCTTAACTCGATTTTCTCCTTCTTACAACGATCCATCAGTTTCTAAAAGAAAATATTAATATCCTAATAGTCGTGTGCATTAGTACCGTCCAGTGTTCCGGAAGGGC